CACGTCTCTCTCTCTCTCTCTCTCTCTCTCTCTCTCTCTCTCTCTCTCTCTCTCTCTCCCCCTCCCTTCAGTATCCTGCAAAGTTATCATCGCGTCGAAAGAAAATTTTTTCAGCCTGCATGTTTGTCATAGTCATAAAAGCCTCGTATATCTCCAAATTCGTCGCCATCAGAAATTTCTAGTGCGAATCTGTCCGTTCCTGTTTTCCTCCCCCAAATACCATACGACTCGGTAAATAATTCTAACGGTTATTACACTCCGAAAACCTCTCGTCTTCAAAACATTTATACATTTCCTCCATACAAAAAATGTCAAGTGACTCGAGAAATTTATTTAAATTCGCTAGCTATGAGGCGCCGAGAAATCTTTCGTCCTAAGAAAACGTGATTTATCTCAAATATATGTAATAAAAACCCGCAAAAAATCAATTTCTTTCTCCTCGTGTCATAAAAATGACATTCTATTCTCGTCAAATATATTCCTTTCACACACTCGCCATCTTTCTTTTTCGCAGACGTCATTTTGTTTTCGGATCTCGAGCGGTTCCAGACACTTTTTCCCCCTTCTCCTACTTTTTCATCTGGCATTTTGACAACCAATCACACATATGGGGCACTATGGGCAGAACCAATCACGCGCCGGGCAGCTATGGGAGCAGCCAATCAGAACGCTCCCTAATTATTTAATTATCACCTGCCACGCCCACCAACCAATCAGAATGCTCCATTTCCACGTGGCTGACAATTTTTGACAGCGGGAGGTCATTCCCCTGGCGCCAGTGGAAAAGTGGTGAGGGTTTGTTTTGACGGGCCAGGGCTACCCATTTACTACTTATAACCTATAGAAATATAATCTATTTTATTTTTATTCCTTTGACTGATTCCAAGATTGAAGTCCAAATCTATCGTAAATTGAATCTTTCATAAAGTGAATGAAAAAATTATAATAATAGCAGAATTTACGAAGTAAATACTTAATGGAATCCTTTGATAGCGATTCAGAAAATGAAGAAAATATTCTATTATTAATAACTAAACCAAGTATACCGCATGTTTTCAGTATTCCCGTGAGTTAATAATAAGTTATAATCTTTATTGTCGTCAACATCAATAAGTACTTCATAAGTATTTCATCCATGGATGAACGCCGCCATATTTTGCTGTGACTGCTTCACCTCGCGAGCCGTAGTAACGAAAGCAAGAAGTGACGACAAAATCTATGACGTCATATGAGTACAACAAAAAAACCGAGTCTTAACATTTAATATTTAAAAATATTTACATATTTAGATAATATATTAAATAAAAGAACGAATTTCTAAATAAAAGAACCGATTTCTTATACAAAAAAATATAATAAATTATAGAATTCATTATACAAATGTCTCAAAAAGATCGAGTTCCTGAATAGCCCGAAAATATAAGTTTTATAGAAAAGTATTTGAAATAAAAGTTGTAGGATTTAAAAAGATCTATTTACTAATCTTATCAGTTTGACCTTGGCATTGCCAAGGTCATATGGAAGTCAACTTTGTTTTTTTAAATGGGATCTCCTATTTTTGATTATATATTCTTGTAGCTGACTTCAGAGCTTTCCAAAATATAATAAAGTATTTTTTTAGCAAATATTTTCTGAATTATGAGGCTTGAATTTGATATGCAATTTGACATAAAGTATAAAATATCTCGTAAACTATTTACTTTCTGACAACTATCTTAACACTTTTATGCACAGAATAATGAGATGAATCAATTGGTGTAAAGAAAATACATAATTGTTACATAATTTTTTCAAAAAAGATAACTAGGTTTAATCTGGTAATTTCTGATAATTATAGTGTATCATTATTTCAAGAATTATTTTACACTTTTACGTAATCTATTAGACAGATATCTTATTTTTTAGGCAAGTTTTAAAGATAAATGAAGAATAAAAATATGTTTTTAAAGGAAAAACACAAAAAAACTATATGCAAGAAACTTTGCATATTATTTCTCGCTTCTGATGTCATAATTCAATATGGCTACAGAGAGAATCAAGCTTTAATAACAAATGTATTTACAGTGATAAAAAATAGAATTTTATTATTGCTTTCTTATTATCATGCAAATGTAACAAAGAAACCGCAACTCTCCGCAGTCACGGAGAACACAGCGAATAATTAAGTAATCTCTAGTAACTTTCAGCTAAAATTGATAATAATACTGATAACAGCATAGAGTAAAATACATCTATTAATAATTATTGCATATTTCATTACATAGTAATATCTCTATAAAAAGTTATGGTAATTATTTATATTAGCGGTCACAGCTTCGATGACCTTGACCTTGATATATGTTATAGAAATGAGAATGAACTTTTCTTTATAAATTAATCGGCGTATATTTTTTGAGATATATTTACTTAAACCTTTTTTAAAATAAATCTTTGGAAGGGCTATATTATCAGAAAGTTAAACGCGTAACAATATTTTCAATGCATTTTTGCCTCCTGATTACAAATATAATAATAAAATTTGACGTCGGCCGCCATCTTGAAAAAATAGAAAAAAATTTGTATTTTTATTAGCATTTCACAGGGCGCTTGATGCTCGCAATGGTTTTCATCTTTCACTTTACTAAATTGAGTCTATCATACTACCTATACTAAAGGAATAGATTCAGAAAAAATGAGCAAAGACCTCTACGGTTTGTGTTTAAGTGACTTATTATTGAATATTTATTTTATTGCATCTCTAACAGAGCACGAGACGCTTATTTTTTATATTTTAGAAGGTCTACATAATATGTTATAGAGGGGGGGAGGGGGTCACCCCTTGAACTCTTCATCAGGAGGCTTCGCCCCCCAAATTCCCTACCAAGGAGATTGTCCTCTGGAGCCGTAATCGATGAATCTTGTCATTCTTTCGAAACGAAACGAGATCTATAATTGTTTTATTCCATCTAATTTTGTGTAAAAAGCAAGGGAAGATGTGAAGTAAACCTCGTTTCACGTGGAAAGTCGCAAACTTATGTGAAATGGAATAAATCTCATTAATTTTTTATGATAATATACAAGGTGTCCTGTAAAAAAATAATAACATTTGAAAAATAAATTTTAAATAAATATATTTAAAAAGCTATGAGTCCGCCGATTAATTTATAAGGAAAAGTTGTTCAGTACCCTCACCTCTATAACATTCATACATGCCTCGAAGAGATAAGATGTCTGCCCGGTAAGCAGGAGATCCAGGTTCGATTCTTAGCTGAGGTGTATTCTGAGCTGAGGTTATTATTTGACAAAACTAATTACGAGTTTTCACGACTAGTTCGTGGTCGGGCCTCGCCGTGACACACACTCTCCCTTCTTATTTGGGTGTCAAGGTCAATGTCATCGAAACTGTGTTCGCTAATGTAAATAAATATCAAAGTCATTAACTAACCATTATACTCCACGGATTCCCCTAATAAAAATTTTTATAAAATACATTGAGGCTTCTGACTAGTCACCGCGACCATATTGAATCGTGATGTCATAAGCGAGAAAAGACATATTGAAATTTTTTACGTGCCATTTGCAAATAAAAAGATATTTGGATAAAACAACACTTGAAATCGATTTAAGACACATGTGAAAATGGAATGAATTCTGTTTCCACCCTTGTTCCCCCAAATTACTAATCGTCTGATTCTTAGTGTACACCGAATTATTTCGACCGTACCGATCATCCGCGTGTAAAATACTGACTGGTTATCGCTATGACCGATCCAAACACATTTCGCGATCCGCGATTTGTGTCCCGCGTCGCGTCAATTAGCATACACATGTTGTAATCACCGAATCTCATGATTTGACTGCCGTCTGTAGCCATTTCTATTGTGTATCGAATTAGCTAGCGCGAGCTACGCAACCATGACAACCAACCTGCGCTGTTAAGAAGCATCATTGCGCATAACTGCACTCACGAATTACGCACAAATATCTAACGCATTATATTTACACTGAGATCATTTTTCGGCTCAAACATCTAATGTTATATTTATTTCTCGATATAATAAATGATTCTTTTTTGTTAACTCAGTGTTTCAAATTAATGTTGCAAATTTGGCACCTAACGAATTAATCCGAATCTATCCGATTATCTGTTTTCACGGATTCTGATCTCTTTAAACATTTTTTAAATAAAATTAAATAAAATTTATTTTGCAAAAATTTTTATCATGTATTTTCTCATTTCTGTCATAATTCAAACTGGCTCAAAGAATAAATCAATAGGATTAATTAATTTAATTTTTGTGATTGTTTGTTATCTTTTTGATGAAACATAAGATTTTTTCAAGTTTGTGCTATTGAATAATAACATTTGGATTATATTTTATATCTACATCATTAAATTTTACATATAAATAACTTACGTATCCGTTTTCCTCACATTGATTGTAGAATTTAATGCAAATGTCTTCGAAAGGTAAATAAAATGGAACTTGACAGATGCAAAAATAATAGCCTGCAGAGTAACCATGCCATAGAGCGGATAAAGTCAATGTAGCAACAGTTCTTAAACCTTTATGAGGGAATCTTTTGTAAATACATACAGCCATCCAATATTGTATGCATGTATTCCACATTTTCATTGTGTGTCTAACAAATGGAGAAAATTCTACTTCCCACACATTCATATTGTGCACTGTTTCGAAATCCTGCTGCTCTTTTTTTATTCTGTCGTGATTAAGCGATCTGGAAAATTATTTAAAAGGCTCCTTATTTTCATCCAAATTTTTAGGCTTAGAAATATGCATCTGAATCTTTTTGATATCTTTTTTATGTATTAGCAGCAAGAAACATTACATATAAATACAAAATGAACTTATTTCATTAGTTAATAGAAAAATAGTTCTTTAAATATGAATATCTCAAAGATTGGATATAAAAAAAATATCTTACAATTCTTCAATTTTTTTATAATCGCGCGGACCTAGACCAGGTACAGGTTGACAGCAAACTGGATAAGCTCCTAATCCTGACATTTGACAAACACACTCAGCTAGTATCATGCCAATAAACATTCTTAGTCGAAAACTGGCAAATGTCGGATACATATAGAAAAATCTGTAGAAAAAACAGTGTTCTTCGAACTCTACTGTTTGCGTGTACTGTAATTGAAAAAAGATGCATTATTAAAATTATTAGAATTATTATATTATGTTATCATTATTTATAATTGGGAAACGAAGGTCTAATCATTTCATCTTTATGAATAATAGCTAAACACACAAAGCTAGAAGAATTTGTTAACATAATAAAGCTCATTATGCTGAAATCATTCCAATTTTATCATAAAATCGTGCGCTTAACATTTTATGATGTAATACAATTAATATTACGTCGCTGGGAAATAGATGATTCATCACTAGAAACAACACAATGAATGCTGCTATTTGTTTGAGTTTATAGTAGGTGAGCGGCCACGGATCAACATAATTAGAAAATGGTCTATATAGAGAATCCCAGTATGTTCTATAACGGTAGTATGGACCTACAAGAATTAACACATAACTTACATATATTATTTATATATCTTAAGATATCAATTTATATATTAAGATTCAATTTATATTAAATACAATTTTAATATTTATTTTCCAGTATTTTTTAATTAGAATTCTATATATATTTATCATATTTCTTACCTGTTAACACACCCATATAACCAAAACTGTAATGTATTACATCCATAAAACTGATTTTCTTGAATGCTTCAGAATTTGCTCCCTGATTGTTATCAGTAGGTGCTGTAGCTGCAGAATTGATCTCAAACGCCAGCCCGGGTAGCTTGAGAGTGAGAATCATAACAACGAGATTTGTATAAGTTGGCGGGTTCGATAAACCGAAATAATCACTCAATCGGAAAATCACCAGTAAGTAGAAAAAGGAGAAATATAGACTGACCAAGTGACATTTCCTGCAAGATCAAAAATCTATCGAATTTGTCTTAATATTAAATTATATAGCGTTCCGAACTTGAATAAACTTAGAAGAGAAATAATTTTGTTTATCATAAAATTATATATTTTTAAATTAATTTGAAAATTGACAATTGTCTCGTGGAAATAATACAAATTAAAAGTTTATAAAGCATACATTCCTCCGAAAATATATTGATCAGAGTTTTTCTTTATTCTGAATGTTTATTAATCTGATTCAATTGAACAAACTATATATTAATTGTTTAATTTTGAGCTCACTGATTTCATAAAATTCTATTTAAACATCAGAATTTTAAATAAAATTTCAGAAATAATATTTCAGAATTATATTTTGAATATATTGAATAGATATAACATTACTTGACAAGATACAAAATAATCACGTATCTTTTCAAAGGTATACTTAAAAATTTTATCTTCAAAAATTTAGATAAGCAATTTTTGTTATAATTAAAAAGCTATCAAATTAGTTTATAAATCAGATACAAGAAGCAAATAAAAGCAACATAATTGATAATCAGACAAAAAGGTGTCTATTGCGATTAGTCATAGACAATGGCTGCGTTCAGCAGAAAAAGCAGCTTAGTAAGTGCTTTATGATATGCTGTCAATATTAAGAAAGTTCTACTGAACGCTTATTTGACACGAAACGCATCCTAAACACGGAATGTTATAAAATTTACGTACATATACAAAAGATATAATGGATTTAATATTGCAGATTATAATGGACGAAGAGTTGTTTATTAATAATATTATAAATATCGTGGCAGAAGATTTAAGCTAACAGAAGATTTAGGCCATTGCAAGATAATATAAACAAAAGACGAAATGAAAGGAATCAAAATTATTTTGAAATTACAATTCCTCGTTACACTGATGTGCAATTTGTAGAACATTTTAGAATGTCACGAGGAACATTCGAGATTCGTATCAATATATTTTTATATATTTTTTACTGTATATATTTTTATTATCTAAACAGTCATAGAATTTGATACTTTTATGTGTTGCAGGAATTACTTAATGTAGTTGCTCCTATTGTAAACCAAGAACAAAATATAGATGTGAGCATAAGTAAAAAATTAATGTTTACAATTTGGACATTAACCAAACCTGAAAGCTTTTTAACGGTAAGCGAGATTTGGGTTAGCCAAAATCCTGGATGTCAAATATTTACCAATATTGTATATATTCTGACATAGTTAACGTCTGTATATATACAATGGCCAAATGCAGCACAATGCCATTTATCTTGCAACGTATATTATTTTGTTATAATTATAACTTTTCTGTATATTAATATTAATCCGTATATTAATTTCTGTCTTTCTGTATATTAACATTAATGTATGTAATATATTAATAAAGTAACAATTTTTTATCATCATTTATTTTAGGTATTTGAAGCTCGATTACATGGATTTAGAGAAGTTATTGGTGCTATAGATGGCTGCCACATACTCTGTAAGCAACCTATTGGAAATTCAATAGATTTTTATAATAGAAAAGATTTTCATTCTATTATACTACAAGGTAAGAATATATTAGGTGTACAAAAAAGTTCTGAGCTTTTTTTGTAAAATTCAATCTTTAAAATTCTGTTAAATTCAAAAACAAACAAAAAAATATTAATCAGCGAAATATTTCCCGTTTGTATCAACGACCTTTTGCCATCTTTCGGGTAGCTTGAGAATTCCTTGACGATAGAAGCTCACCGGCTTCGAAGCGATAAAGTCATCAATGTATTTTCGTATCTCTTCAAATCTCACGAAATGTGTATCAGCTAAATGATGCTGCAGCGACCGGAATAAGTAATAATCGGAAGGCGCCATGTCTAGGCTATACGCCACGTGCGAGAGAAGTTCCCAGCCTAACGCAAAGATATGATCCTGAGTCGCTTTCGCAACATATGGTCGAGCATTGTCATGAAGCAAGATCACTTTACGACGTCCTTGGCCAGTTTTGGCCTGTTTTCTTCTAATGCATCGCTCAAATTGGTCAATTGTTGTTGGTAGCGTATCTGCCGTGATTGTTTCACCCGGTTATAACAACTCGTAATATGTAACACACCTTTCCAATCCCACCAGATACAGAGCAAAACCTTCTTGGCGTGGATATTGGGCTTTGGCGTCGATGTCGAAGATTGACCAGGGTCAACCCATGATTTTCTACGTTTAGGGTTATCATAAAGAATCCACTTTTCATCGTCTGTAATGACTTTGTGCAGAAAATCTTTTTTCCGGAACTTTGAAAGCAAAGTGAGTGCAGTGTCACGCCGACGATTTTTGTTGTCTTCGGACAATTCATGTGGAACCCATCTGCCTTCCTTCTGAACCTTTCCCATCGTATGTAAACGTACGGAAATGGTTTGCTGCGTAACGCTGTTCTGCAAGCTCCTTTTCAGTTTGCGCAGAATTTATATCCAGCAGTGCTTGCAATTCGTCCGTTTCAATTTTTTGAGAGTCCAGCACGCGGTTCATCTTCAAGACTGAAATTTTCTTGGCGAAATTTTTGATACCATCTTTTACATGTAGTATGACTTACAGCGTTCTCTCCATATGCAGCACAAATCATTGCAGTGGCTTCAGCAGCATTTTTCTTCAGATGAAACGCGAAGTGGATGGAAAATCGAATATGCTCTTTTGTTATTGCCATCGTGAACACTACTGATTTTTTAAGTTATGTGCATCAAATGTCACCGTATGGCATTTTAGAAGGCCAAATGTCAGCGCTTTAAAACCGCAAAAGGGTGGGAAGATATATAAAATTTAAATTGTTATTTCGGTTGTATGATCTAAAGCTCAGAACTTTTTTGTACACCTCCGGTCCGGTATACTCCAAGTCGCGTTGAAAATGTCTTCCTTCCAAATGGGAATGTGTACTTCCTGATGTGCGAACGCATATAAAAATTTATTTTTGTGTATGTGTAAGATTTATAGTTTACTTAACTTTTGTGAGCATATTTCTTATTATTGCCACTTTTGGATTATTGATCGCGCTATGAGCATCATGCAACTCGTTTTCGGATGGGGATTGATCAGCATACCGATGCTCAATCAGCAAAATGTTAGCAGATTGACCTTATCTGAAATCGTATTCTGCTTACGCTCTGTTAACAGAATTTGTTGATATTCTATGCCAACAGACACCATACAACATATACTAAGACTGACAACAGAAATCGAGTAGATCCTGCTGACAGCTGACAAATTGGCAGTAGAAATCGAGTAGATTTTGCATAAGCATTTAATTGTGACATTATTCTAATCTTGAAAAATAATGTCTCTGTTTTATTTCTCATTTTAAAAGAACAATTTTTAATTGTTTTATTAATATAGAAATTAATATATTCTGTACAATATAAATAATGAAATTTTTTAAATATATATACCATGTCCGTTGACTCTTATATCTTCCAATAATTATTTGCTATATTCATTAATTTCTTTGCTACAAAGACACAATTATGTTTTGCACTACGTACATACATAAAAGATACAAAAATAATAATGGCATATTTGAATTTACAGCAGTTATAACAATTTTGATTATAGAAAATCTGATAAATTTCACATACAGAGAAACAAACGCAACTTAGCGAGTCCTGCAATTACATATAGTATTTAGTGATTGTGCAGAATCTGTTCGATTTTTGGTTTCAATCTGTTATCAAATTATGTTACACAGATTCTGTTCGATTTTTGCCGCCAATCTGACATGAAATTGTGTTACGCAGGTTCTGCTTAATTTCTGCCAATCTGCCGACAGATCATTCAGCAGAATTTGCTTAATTTCTGCTGCCAGTTTGCTGGCAAGCAATATGAACAGATTCTGTCACATTTCTGGCAGCAGTTTACCGACATCGACAGACATTATAGAATCTGTGTGCAGATCTGTTGCCTTTCTAGCATCAAAATTTTTAGCAAACTCTCCGCATAATCTGTCTCTTCTTGTTTGGCTATCAGGATACCAGCTATAGTCCTTGCTCGTGGCTCACGCGACTAGAAAAAGATTCTTCTAAATCGTGATGAATAAGAAAAAAAATAAAGTGCTTAAGAGTAAAAAATTTCGGTCGTTGAATACTATCCTTCTCGCCCTACTTCCCAGATTGTCTCTGTTATGCTCTCCTGATCACTCACTGTACATAAAATACATCAGTATCTTCAATTATCAGACTACGCTTCGATAATTGAAGACTAAGGATTGCAAGTTTATCAATAAAAACAAAAAATTAAAGGTTCTTTAGTTTAAAAAAAAAAAAAAAATCGTCGTTGCATCTCCTATTTTTTTGAAACAATAACTATATGTTTTCTTTACATCAATTGATTTATCTCATTATTCTGCATAAAAGTATTAAGATATAATTTCTAGAAAATGAATAGTTTACGAGATTATTTTATACTTTATGTCAAATTGCATATCAGATTCAAGCCTCATAACTCAGAAAGTACTTGCTAAAAATTACTTTATTATACAGTTTCCCGTGTAGGGTTGTTCCTCCCATCGGGTGCCTCCCCAGGTGGCGGATCGGGGAACGCTCGTCGACTTGCTGGAAGATACCGGAAAATAAATATCCGGGGCGGACATAAAGTCAGCGACTCAGGCAATGGATAAAACTCACATTGGTAGAATTACCCGAGGTAGCAGACCGAATAACTCGGAAAATTCATCCTCGGAAGAAGCAGACTTCACGGATTCTGGGAAAAGTCAACCGTTGCTTGTTGAAAATGGTCAAATAAAAAGCAATCTATTAAAAAAAACACAACAATGCCAACATTGTTACTTTAATAATAAACTTGGTGATAAACTTTTACCACTAACAATGTCCAATAAACTATTGGAATTGAACATATCCCAAAGAGAACACTCAACATTGTTTAAAAAGGACGAAGACTGTCATGAGACAAATTGGGAAACTTAAAAAAAGACGGCTTCGTAACAGTTCTAATACTAATAATAATCAGAAACAAAT